TATATAGGGTGTGTATGTGTATTTTATATAGGGTGTGTATGTATATATTATATAGGGTGTGTATGTATATATTATATAGGGTGTGTAGGTGTATATTATATAGGGTGTGTATGTATATATTATATAGGGTGTGTATGTATATATTATATAGGGTGTGTATATTATATAGGGTGTGTATGTATATATTATATAGGGTGTGTATGTATATATTATATAGGGTGTGTATGTATATATTATATAGGGTGTGTATGTGTATATTATATAGGGTGTGTAGGTATATATTATATAGGGTGTGTATGTGTATATTATATAGGGTGTGTATGTGTATATTATATAGGGTGTGTATGTGTATATTATATAGGGTGTGTATGTGTATATTATATAGGGTGTGTATGTGTATATTATATAGGGTGTGTATGTGTATATTATATAGGGTGTGTATGTGTATATTATATAGGGTGTGTAGGTGTATATTATATAGGGTGTGTAGGTGTGTATTATATAGGGTGTGTATGTATATATTATATAGGGGGTGTATGTATATATTATATAGGGTGTGTATGTATATATTATATAGGGTGTGTATGTGTATATTATATAGGGTGTGTAGGTGTATATTATATAGGGTGTGTATGTGTATATTATATAGGGTGTGTATGTGTATATTATATAGGGTGTGTATGTGTATATTATATAGGGTGTGTATGTGTATATTATATAGGGTGTGTATGTGTATATTATATAGGGTGTGTAGGTATATATTATATAGGGTGTGTAGGTATATATTATATAGGGTGTGTATGTATATATTATATAGGGTGTGTATGTATATATTATATAGGGGTGTATGTATATATTATATAGGGTGTGTAGGTGTATATTATATAGGGTGTGTATGTATATATTATATAGGGTGTGTAGGTGTATATTATATAGGGTGTGTAGGTGTATATTATATAGGGTGTGTATGTATATATTATATAGGGTGTGTATGTATATATTATATAGGGTGTGTATATTATATAGGGTGTGTATGTATATATTATATAGGGTGTGTATGTATATATTATATAGGGTGTGTATGTGTATATTATATAGGGTGTGTAGGTATATATTATATAGGGTGTGTATGTGTATATTATATAGGGTGTGTATGTGTATATTATATAGGGTGTGTATGTGTATATTATATAGGGTGTGTATGTGTATATTATATAGGGTGTGTATGTGTATATTATATAGGGTGTGTATGTGTATATTATATAGGGTGTGTATGTGTATATTATATAGGGTGTGTATGTGTATATTATATAGGGTGTGTAGGTGTATATTATATAGGGTGTGTAGGTGTATATTATATAGGGTGTGTAGGTATGTATTATATAGGGTGTGTATGTATATATTATATAGGGGGTGTATGTATATATTATATAGGGGGTGTATGTATATATTATATAGGGTGTGTATGTGTATATTATATAGGGTGTGTATGTGTATATTATATAGGGTTTGTAGGTGTATATTATATAGGGTGTGTATGTGTATATTATATAGGGTGTGTATGTGTATATTATATAGGGTGTGTATGTGTATATTATATAGGGTGTGTATGTGTATATTATATAGGGTGTGTATGTGTATATTATATAGGGTGTGTATGTGTATATTATATAGGGAGTGTATGTGTATATTATATAGGGTGTGTAGGTATATATTATATAGGGTGTGTAGGTATATATTATATAGGGTGTGTAGGTATATATTATATAGGGTGTGTAGGTATATATTATATAGGGTGCGTAGGTATATATTATATAGGGTGCGTAGGTATATATTATATAGGGTGCGTAGGTATATATTATAGAGGGTGTGTAGGTGTATATATTATATAGGGTGTGTAGGTGTATATATTATATAGGGTGTGTAGGTGTATATATTATATAGGGTGTGTAGGTGTATATATTATATAGGGTGTGTATGTGTATATTATATAGGGTGTGTATGTATATATTATATAGGGTGTGTATGTATATATCATATAGGGTGTGTATGTATATATCATATAGGGTGTGTAGGTATATATCATATAGGGTGTGTATGTATATATCATATAGGGTGTGTAGGTGTATATCATATAGGGTGTGTATGTATATGGTGGGGAGCGATAGTGTAGCGGTTAGCGCGCTGCGCTATGAACCCGGCGACACGGGTTCGATTCTCGCTCACGGCCAACACCAGTGACGATTATCTGAACCGGTCCCGGGCCTCCCCTAGGTCGACTCAGCCTCAAATGAGTACCTGGTGCGGTGTGTAAACATTGCCACTAGGGAGACAAAGGCGGTCGGGCGTGGTGCTGGCCACCCACCCCCTCGTGTACCGTTCTGGCCTTCATAGGTGCTCGCTAACAGCACTTGCCCCTACAGTCTGTTAAGGCTATACGGGGGATCTTTGATCTGTTTTCTTTGTTGTATGTATATATTATATAGGGTGTGTATGTTTATATTATATAGGGTGTGTATGTATATATTATATAGGGTGTGTAGGTATATTTGCCTACAAAATACATTTATTTTTGCGGGAGTGGTCGACAATTTTTGGGGAACTGTTGGATGAAATTTTTACCCCCACATCTAGGGGAGGGGATCCACTTTCTATAACTTTTTGGTTCAGGCCTTCTGAAAGGCTCTAATAATAATTGTTGGCAGACAAACGGAACGTCGGGCTTATTTCAACGGTTTTAATTAACTTTACTTCTATGTGTGTCGTGGTCAAATCTTGCAATCAAAATTTTGTCTACTTCCTGTTGTCAAATGAATTCCAAATTTTGCACTCGTACTCAGATCAGGTGACAATGCATGCCTGTATTAAAATCGCCATCAATTAATCAATTAATTGGCTCTTTTAAAGCAATTAACATTTTGTATGGACGCCTTATTATATATTTGTGTAGGTCAAAAATGCCGCAGTCCCTAAACTCTCGAATCGCCTCGCCCAAGAAGCAGGCGGCGCCACGTGTCTCAGGCGCGCACGCTCCGTGTCAACGACTTCCGGAAGTACTGTAATTAATGAATTCAAGTCAGCGTTGATGTGGGAGCAGGCGCCGCATCATTGACGTACTTAATAAAACCGTTGTTAAAACAACTTTTTAAAGGAGTTTTTTTTATTTAATAGATGTTAAGTACGGCATTGGTGCAGCAGGGAAGCGAGTTTCCCCATTGCAGCCCGGTCGCCTCCCAGTGTTCCCAGCGACACGTGTCCACACGGTCGTGAAGTGTCGCGAAGTGGTCGTACGTGAGCACTGTGAGCTCCTTTACGGCATCCCGGCTAAGAGGAGGTGGAGGAGGCGGATTCCTCGTTTCTTCGACCTCCTCCTGCTCCTCTTCCTCCTGCTGCTCCTCTTCCTCCACCTGCTCCTCTTCCTGCTCCTTAACGACGCCGCCGGTCAGCGTCGTGTTGGTCAGTGGCCGTCGCCTGTGCGTGCGGCAAGCGGCGGCGAGGAGGCGGTGGAGCTGCGCCGCTGGCGTGGTGAGTGTCGGCTGAGGGCCGTGGTGAGTGTCGACTGAGGGCCGTGGTGAGTGTCGACTGAGGGCCGTGGCGAACCGGGGTAATCACCTAAGCGGCTCGTGACCGGGCGGGCCGCCCGTCAGTACCACCTCGGAGGCAGAGGATAAATAAGCGGAGTTGCTCGCCTGCGCACTTCGGTACTGGACATATACTGTAGGCGTCTGTGCAGTATGTATACAGTACGCGTACTGTACGCGGCTGCGTGTGTGTGCAGTTGTACGCACTCGCGTGTGCACGTTACCGCCTGTGTGCGTACACTCGGGTTACTTTCCGAACGCGTCTCGTGTGTTACGGATGTGTGTAGCCCCCGTGCCATGTGGACATCGCGTGTGTATGCACAGTAGACCAGCTCGAAAGTGAACGGCGCAACCCTGCAATAGTCCGCTCGACGCCACTGTTGGCGGTCGGGCCCGCACTGCTCGACTGAGCTCTGGCGATGCTTGGTCTCCTCTTCCGTACTGACCCAGCCGCGGGGCGAGAGGTGTTCATGTCCTGGTATCGGCGATCATGGGTCGACTATACGCGTGGTATAGTCGGTGATTTGTACTCGTGTGTACACTGTACACACTGTACTTGGTTACACGTGTAGCCAAGTACAGTACGATGCAATGTGTGCGTGTACTGTATCTTTAAATGAATACCCAGCGCGCGATGTAGCAAACATCAGCACTGGGGAGACAAAGGCGGCCAGCCAGGATATTGGTGCTGGCCATACCACCTCTTTGTGCGTTAATATGCGCTCGCTAAAAAAACACTTGCCCTCGATCGTCCGCGTAGCCTACACGGGGGACCTTTCCCTTGTGTGCGGTGCTGTTTACTCAGCGATGTAATTGAGTGACGCGGTGGGAAATCGGCCAGGTGGAGGAGCGGAGTCTGTTCGCGCGGCGACGCGTGGCTGTGATGTTGTTCAAGGTGTGGTGGTCTTTAGAGTTGTGACGCTGTCGAGAGGTGTGATGCTGGCTGGTGGATTTATTGGTGAAGTTAGTGTCACAATATTGGTGACGCTAGGGAGGATGCTGATGATGTTATTAATGCTGATATTGTGATGATGTTTTTGTGATGTCATTCATGAGGGTGACGTTAATCATGACAGTTATGACTTTAATTGATGCTAGTAGTGGTAATATTTTCAATATGGTTCTAGTTATGTTAATTGATCTTGTTGGCTATGTTGTTCGTAATGATGATTATGATGCTGTCAAAGACATTACAACAGCGATTACATATATCCTGCACGACATCCACCCCATAGCCTGCTCCTGCAAGACTTTAGTGATAATGGTGTTATCTGGGAGATGGATATGATGTGACGAGTGATGACCGGATTGTACTGATGGTAGTGATAGAAAACATGGTGATAAGAATAAGGCTGCTGGTGATGATGGTAACACCCGGGGTGAGTAATGCTGATGGTGATGATGTTGGGCTGTACTCAGACGCGGTGGCGATGCCGTGGGGAGGCCCAGGCGGTGCGGAGTGATGAGGCACAGGCTACACGGCGAGTGTTGCTGGGGAGCAGCTGATTGATGCTTATGGCCAGGTGCTGGTACGCGTGGACGCACGCACTTGTACACAGTGAACACAACACAGTGTACACATACATACAACACATCACACAACTCATTATATATGCACACATCAAAATGATACAAAACCTGTCACGTGCACAACTAATTATACACACCCCCCCACCCCGAAGCAGGATTTTAACTCGCAACCTCACTCCTCCTTCCTCACGTCTCCCTCCTCACGCCATCCACACTCATCCCCCCTCCTCTCTTCACTGCTCCCACTCCTCATTCCTCCACCTTGTCGCTCCCTCAGGCTCTTCTCACGGTGCCGGCTGCCGGCCTCGTGGCACTTCAGCTGCGCCGCGTGCGCCGCCGTCGCCGCCATTCCGCGCGCGCCCCCGGGCGCCACCGCCGCCGCCTCCTCGTGCTGCCTGGGAGCGGGGGGGGCAGGCGGGGCGCCCCCCGCACCACGCAGGCTGCTGGCGCTGCTGCTGGCGCTGGCCGCTTTGGTGCTGCTGTGCGGCCTCTACGTGCTGGGGGCGGCGCACTCGGCCGGCGCGCGGCGCCCGGAGAGTCGTGCCCTTGAGAGGTGGGAGCCGTGGGGAGGGAGGGGGGAGGGATCACCGGGCATACGCGGTACCAGAGTTCGTGCTGTGAGCGTGCTGCGCTTGAGTAGCCGGCTGAATGGCCGCCGGCTGTCTGAACAGCACCGCGACACACGCACTGTCGTATTAACGGCAACCGGCACCCGGCCACTCGAGCGCTCGCTGGAGTGGCTGGCGGTACGAGTGGTGGGTGAGTGGCTGCTTGAGCGGTCTCGCGAGTGGCTGGGCGAGTGGAGTTGCCGTTGTGTGACGTGGCAGCTGCTGCCAGTGCCACGTCGCCGTGCGGAATTTGGCGCGGCGCTCGCAGTGGCTCTCCGCCCGGGCAGTAAAAGCGTTTGTGAAATATTAAAGAGGAAGCGGCGGAGATTGCGGTAATACAATTATTGGAGGGTCTGGGGAGGGTGTGTGCCGTGAAGTAATGGAAAATGAACTATTAGGATCACGAGCATTGATGAGGTACTCAATGTGGAAACCAGTCCAGAATTTGGTTGTGTTGAACCAGTGCTGCTAAGGTGCACTCCCAGAAGGGACGCCATGTGGCTGATGGGATGTGGTGGTTACGTTGACAGTGGTGGTGGTGGTAACGTTGACAGTGGTGGTGATGTTGGAGGTAGTGGTTATGGTTATGGAGACGCCGCCGGTGGTGAAAGTGATGACGGTGGTGGCGGTCACCGGTGGTGGCGGTCACCGGTGGTGGCGGTCACCGGTGGTGGCGGTCACCGGTGGTGGCGGTCACCGGTGGTGGCGGTCACCGGTGGTGGCGGTCACCGGTGGTGGCGGTCACCGGTGGTGGCGGTCACCGGTGGTGGCGGTCACCGGTGGTGGCGGTCACCGGTGGTGGCGGTCACCGGTGGTGGCGGTCACCGGTGGTGGCGGTCACCGGTGGTGGCGGTCACCGGTGGTGGCGGTCACCGGTGGTGACGGTCACCGGTGGTGACGGTCACCGGTGGTGACGGTCACCGGTGGTGACGGTCACCGGTGGTGACGGTCACCGGTGGTGACGGTCACCGGTGGTGACGGTCACCGGTGGTGACGGTCACCGGTGGTGACGGTCACCGGTGGTGACGGTCACCGGTGGTGACGGTCACCGGTGGTGACGGTCACCGGTGGTGACGGTCACCGGTGGTGACGGTCACCGGTGGTGACGGTCACCGGTGGTGACGGTCACCGGTGGTGACGGTCACCGGTGGTGACGGTCACCGGTGGTGACGGTCACCGGTGGTGACGGTCACCGGTGGTGACGGTCACCGGTGGTGACGGTCACCGGTGGTGACGGTCACCGGTGGTGACGGTCACCGGTGGTGACGGTCACCGGTGGTGACGGTCACCGGTGGTGACGGTCACCGGTGGTGACGGTCACCGGTGGTGACGGTCACCGGTGGTGACGGTCACCGGTGGTGACGGTCACCGGTGGTGACGGTCACCGGTGGTGACGGTCACCGGTGGTGACGGTCACCGGTGGTGACGGTCACCGGTGGTGACGGTCACCGGTGGTGACGGTCACCGGTGGTGACGGTCACCGGTGGTGACGGTCACCGGTGGTGACGGTCACCGGTGGTGACGGTCACCGGTGGTGACGGTCACCGGTGGTGACGGTCACCGGTGGTGACGGTCACCGGTGGTGACGGTCACCGGTGGTGACGGTCACCGGTGGTGACGGTCACCGGTGGTGACGGTCACCGGTGGTGACGGTCACCGGTGGTGACGGTCACCGGTGGTGACGGTCACCGGTGGTGACGGTCACCGGTGGTGACGGTCACCGGTGGTGACGGTCACCGGTGGTGACGGTCACCGGTGGTGACGGTCACCGGTGGTGACGGTCACCGGTGGTGACGGTCACCGGTGGTGACGGTCACCGGTGGTGACGGTCACCGGTGGTGACGGTCACCGGTGGTGACGGTCACCGGTGGTGACGGTCACCGGTGGTGACGGTCACCGGTGGTGACGGTCACCGGTGGTGACGGTCACCGGTGGTGACGGTCACCGGTGGTGACGGTCACCGGTGGTGACGGTCACCGGTGGTGACGGTCACCGGTGGTGACGGTCACCGGTGGTGACGGTCACCGGTGGTGACGGTCACGGTGGTGACGGTCACGGTGGTGACGGTCACGGTGGTGACGGTCACGGTGGTGACGGTCACGGTGGTGCGTGCAGGTTCCTGGAGCACATGCTGCAGGCGGAGGCCACGGACACGCTGGATGCGGCGCTGTCGTACGGCGTGGTGGTGGACTGCGGTAGCAGCGGCACGCGTGTCTTCGTGTACGTGTGGCCGCCGCACAATGGCAACCCGCACGACCTCCTCGACATCCGGCAGATGCGAGACCGCAGTCGCAACCCCGTGGTGAAGAAGATCAAGCCCGGTGAGCGCCCGGCAGCACCGGGTTGGCCGCGTTTGGGTCATTGTCGGCATCGGCGCAGTCCGTTCATTGTCCTCTTTCATATTCAGCGCTCGCCCCACCGGTCTGCGTGGGCTACTCGTATTGTGCTGCATTGTGCCTTGCTGTGTGCTATGTCGTGCTGTCGTGCCGTCCTGTGGTAGGGATCTCCACGCTGGCTCCTAGCCCCGAGAAGGCGAGCGACTACATCCGGCCGCTGCTCAGCTTTGCGGCGTCGCACATCCCCCTGGGCAAGCACAGGGAGACGCCGCTCTACATCCTGTGCACTGCCGGCATGAGGTTGCTGCCCGACAGGTGATGCCTGCTGCTGCTACTGCGGCGTGCGTGTCTGCGTGTCTGTGTCTTGTGTGTGGGGAGCGGGAGGCAAGGTGGTTCGCGAACTGCGCGATGAACCCGAGTTCCATTCATGCCCAACATCGACTCACTGGCAGTAGCGAGCCTTTGACGCTTCACTCAAGGGCCTCAAAATGCACCTAGCCCGGTACAAGTGCTGTGGTGACGTCACCACCACTTAGTGGTGAATGGCGGCTGTTATTTTAGTTTGTGTGTACATGTGTGTACGTGTCTCTTGTACATGCACACTCGACCATGTCTTCGGGATTGTGAGTGGTGTTTCCAATGCCATTCAAAGTAGACTATTCACCACAGCACTTGTACCGGGCTAGGTGACTTTACCGAAATAACCAAAGAGTATGGATTCCTGCAGTCATGAAAGCTTCAAATCAAGATTAGACTATTCCATTACTAGAAGAGTGGACTGTACCATGAGTGAATAGCAGTGTACCTTTATTGGAGTTGAGGGGACCGTACCATTCCCAGTGGAGTGGACTGTGCCATGAATAGTGTGGTGGACCATACCATTGTCTCACTGTCCATCTCTGCAGTCTGCAGGAGGCAATCCTGGAGGACCTGCGCACCGACATCCCGCTCGAGTTTGACTTCCTCTTCTCCGACTCGCACGTCGAGGTCATCTCGGGCAAGCAGGAGGGTGAGGTCACTGGCTCACGCATCTCATGCAGTGGTGCCAACCTAGTTGGTTGAATGTGCGTGAGTTATTGTGGTATGTCTGTGCACGTGTGCGTCCCAGGTGTGTACGCGTGGATTGGCATCAACTTTGTTCTGGATCGCTTCAATCACGTGGAGGAAGAGGAGGGTGAGGATTTGCCTTGCGCCATCACTATCGGCCATCGTCGTCATTCCTAACATTCTTTACCAACACCGGAATCATCGTCAGTTCTTCGTAGGTGACGCGGCCCGGTGGTGGCGTGCTCGCCGCTCGTTGCGGAGGTTTGCGGTGAGGCTGTGGCAAGCCGCCCTGGTTAACACTGCAGTATTAACCGTATAATTGCTGTGCGCTGTCTGCTTCACAATAGATGTTACAGATCCCGTTATGTGATCCGAACCACGATGTGCACTGGCATCCTGGTTAAAATTGACCACATTTTAAAAATTACACCGCAAATTATTTGAATTGGAATAAAAACACTCGACAACATTTCCCCCAAATAGACTATTTTGTTCTTGCGTATGGCAAGGTGTTAGGGAGCTAAATGCCTGCCAGATTCCCACTTGCAGGCCAGTGCTGCGTACAATTTATGTCAAGTTGGGATAGCTGCCACTGGGGGTCCTCTAGACTAGACTGCTCCAGGGAAATGGAATGGTTGAGACGAGATCTAAGAAGCGTTGAGATGCTAAAGCCTTCAAGTGCCCTATATGTGCAAATCCTTGTCTTTGGGTCTCCGTTTTAGTCTATGGGTCTCTAGGAATCTGTCTATAGGTCTCTGTGCCTTGTTGTGTCCTCTCACCTCCGTTCCTCTCATTGTGACCTGCGAATGGCCCAGACGAGGGGGAGGAGGCGGTGGGACCCGACGGGGGGGCTCCCCACGCGGGCGGGGGGAGGAAGCGCACCGTGGGGATCTTGGACATGGGCGGAGCGTCCACGCAGATCGCGTACGAGGTTCCCAAGAGCGTAAGCTTCAGCAGCAGCGCCGCACAGGTCACTAGCCCTCCTCTTCCTTTCCTTCTCTCTCCCCCACCACACATGCTCACACGTGCGCCTCTCCCCTCCGCACACACGCACCCACGCATCACCACTTGCACAAACACACTCTCCCCTAACTGCTTACCACCCTCCCCTAACCACTTACTCACCTACCCTAAGGGTCGCTACCTTTTCCGATGACCAAACCCAGACATGTTTCTTGGCCTGGGGCTATCATCGACACCGTGCGGTCTTTTGGAATAAAGTCCACGGCAACGCAGGCACCGGATCTCGGTACAAATGGGTTCCTGCCGCCACCCCAACACAGACGCCAATTCCTGGAGTGTCCAGTTGGTCAAACCCGGGCAGGTGGCGACCCTACCCCCCGCCCATCCCATCGCTTACCGGCCACTTGCACGCGCTGCCTCTCCGCTTGCGTGCCACGGCGTTTAGCGGAGGCCTACCGAGCACTCTTCCCTCTTCCTCCTCCTCCCTCCTTATAGTTGCCCCCGTTGCGTAAATTGCTGCGCAAACAACTCGCTCGCGAGTAACCCCAACTGCACGCGGCCACGACCATCCGGTCTCACGTGGCCGCACAGTCGCCTGCTTGCTGCGCATGGCCCTACGATTAGGGAGCGGTGGTGCTTGCAGCCAACTCGGTCACCCGAGTTGGATTCCCGCTCACGGCCAACTGCGGTGACGAATATCCGAAGTGGTTCCTGGGCTGAATGTCGACATTGAGTACTTTGACAACGGTGGCCAGGAGCGGTGTCGGCCCCACCGCCCCCCCTCCTCCTCCTCGTGGGTGCGCCGTGCCAGTTGTTGTAGGCGCTGCCCCCCAACGGCACTTTCCCCTGCAGGATTGTGAAGGCTACACGGGTGGGGGGGGCACCTTTGTCTGCGCGTGTCTCAGGAGGAGATCGCGAAGTCGTCTCTGGCCGAGTTCAACCTGGGCTGCGACGAACACCACACGCAGCACATCTACCGCGTGTTCGTCACCACCTTCCTGGGCTCGGGTGCCAACGCCGTGCGCCAGCGCTACGAACAGGCGCTGCTCAACGTGACCGACGCTGCCGCGGCCACGGCAGTGAACGGCGACAACGGAACCGCGCGGTGAGCAAGGTGGCGTCGCGAGTGTCCGAGCAAGTGATTGTGCAGAGTGTGACCGAGTAGATCTAAACGTGATCAAGTCTACGCTGCGCGTCTGAGCGAGTGAGCACCAGCAGGTGTACGAGTGTGCAAGATGCTCGCGCTCATTCCTGACACGCGTGACCGGGTGTTTAAACACGGGCTTTTTTGTCTTGAGTGAACCGGTCTTGCACAGCACGTCCTCCCCGTAGGGCCAAACCGGAATCCCAAGTGAGGGATTCCGGTTTGGCTTGGTCAAGGGAAGGTGTGGCCCCCCTTCAGGGAGCGTGGGGTGGCGCAGCACCCAGTTGCTGTCACATTGCACTGGGAAGCGTTCAATGAGGCAGCAGTCTGGGTGATCAATGGTCTGGTACCGATTCACTCGCTCACTGGCGGTCAGTTTGCCTCTTTTATAGTGACTACTGCCATTGTGAACGTTCCTATGAACACCACTCATTGATTCCTCTGCCCGTGGCAAAGATTTGGTCTGCCGGACTGTGTTCAACAACCATACTGCAGCTCACAACACGCCCCGCCACTCACTACGTCACTCATCAACCCACCCACCCACTCATTAACTCGTCCACCCGTCGTGCCGTGTGGCGTCCCAGCGCCTCCGCTGCGCGGGCGTCTCCGTCCGTGGCGCTCGTCCCTGCGGTGGGAGGCGCCCCGGCCCCCCCCCTCGTGGACGACCCCTGCCTCCCGGCGGAGGCGGCGGACACGGTGGAGCGGCGAGGCGGTGCAGAGGGGGGCACCGAGGGGGGCACCCCCCCTCGCCGACTGCTCCTGCGTGGCGCCGGAGACTTTGATGGGTGCCGGGCGGCCGTGCGGCCCTTCTTAACCGGTGCGTTGCGGCCGCCCCTGGACCTGCCGGCCCTCGCCGGCGCCGGGGAGTTCTACGGCTTCTCAGAGTTCTACTACTGCACCGAGGACGTACTGAGGATCGGCGGGGCCTACGACGCCCGCAGATACGCCAAGGCCGCGGCGGTGAGGACCCGCACCGCGACAGCTCGCCGGGTCTCACAAGTTTGTCAGTGATAGTCATTTGGCTTGTGGTGATGTAATGATTCAATCGTCTGGTCTCATGCTTGTGCTATGCCCTGTGTTATATATTCTATTCGTGAGTCAGCTATGGGTTTTTGTCACCGGTATTTTGATTCGTCATTGATTTTTTTGGTGGGGCTGCCTCATGGCCAAATCTTGTATGCTATGCATGTGCTATGTATAACTGTGCTCTCCGCGCTATGTACTGTGCACGCTTTATGCTGTACACCTGAGTGTTTCGTGCTGTGCTATTTCCTGCGCACCGCAGCCTGCGGATCGAATGCTACGCATTGTGTGCTCTGCAAGCTGAAAACTGCGTGGTGCGTGTACTCTGCTGGCAGGAATACTGTGCGACGCGCTGGGGCACGCTGGTGGAGCGCTTTGAGCGCAAACTCTACTCGCCGCACGCCGACACGCACCGCCTCAAGTGAGTGGCAGGGAGCTGTGCTCCCCACGTACGCACGCAGGGAGCTGTGCTCCGCACGCACGCAGGGAGCTGTGCTCCTGACGCACGCACGCAGGGAGCTGTGCTCCCCACGCACGAGGGTACACCAACAGTGCACAAAGGAACAAGGAGAGACGCACGCTGTGAATTAATCCCCCATGCTAGACGCAGGAACGCGTGCAGGCTAGAGACGTCACCGTGACATTGACCGTCACACACGGCGTGTGGGCATGGGCCGGATGCCTCCGTGGAGACGCAGGATTCAGAGGGATGGTTATGCCTTGGAGAGGCCTTGATCCAGCAGTGGATTGGTCATGACCGACAACAGTGATGTGTAGACTAATTAACTGGCGTTGACAGCCGTGTCCACTAGGGGCGCTACGATGGCAAAGTATAAAAGTAATCGGGCGTTCCTATCGGCAGAGCGTTGTAATCACCGCCCCGGCGCGACGCAGGTACCAGTGCTTCAAGTCGGCGTGGGTTTATGAGATGCTGCACTCCGGCCTGGGCTTCCCCGAGAGCTACGCTGGGCTCCGCACCGCACAGCTCGTGTACGACAAGGAGGTGCAGTGGACGCTGGGAGCCATCCTCTACCGCACACGCTTCTTACCACTCAGGTATGTATGAACTTTTTTCGCACTGTACATAGCCGACTGTGCGGTACGGACCCGCGGAGAGCACGGGGCACATGGAACTGGGTGCAGTGCAGAGCCTGTGCGTTGAAGGTTTTTATAAACGCGTAATCATCATCGTTGCTCACCACCCCACAGGGACATGAATCAGCAGCAGGGAGTGGGGGAGGGTCCGCGTGGGCCCCGCTCCCCATGGCGCCGCTACTCCTCCTTCTTCTACAACCCCCACCTCTTCTCTGCCTGCTTCCTCGTCGTCGCTCTCGCCATCTTGCTGTACCTCCTCCGTCTGCGTCGCATCCACCGCCGCCTGGCGGCCAGCTCCCCTGCCTCGTCCGCCTCCTCTGCGCTACTGTGGATGGAAGAGGGCGGTGCCCCCTGAGTAGGAGCGAGGGGGCTTCTCGGGGTGTCCAGCCCCAGGGGGTCGGGAGGTCGGAGTTGTGGCGGCAGGAAGGTGGCGGCGGTTGCGCCGAGCGCGACGCTCGCCACGACGTTAGCCGGTGTTCGGGATCGTAGAGTATCGTTGGAGGTCGCCGTCGTGAGGACATCGAAGCTGGTTCGCCGACGGCCGATTGACGTTGACCACCGTGTGCGGTGCAGGACCCAGACCACTATTCCCACGGACGGGCCCCCCACAACCAACCCTGTCTAATTAACTTCTCCCCTCAGAATCTTGTAACCAGGCATCTGGCACCCACTGCAGAGCTGGTGCAGTTGCACCGCCTGTGCACTCATTAACAGCAACGTTGGATGTACATTCTAGTGGTACCGTTGGGGTAGCGAGAGATGGCTGGAGAAAGATCTATATATAGAAAGCAATCATCCCAATGCTTGGAAGTGTGCTGCTTGTATAATTTATCACGGTGATGTGTGTGTATATTTGCTCGCGTGAAATGAATGCTGCAGATAATTTCTGCACGTCTGATTGTACGTACTTCCCATTGTGTGTGTGTGTGTGCGTGCGTAGCGGGTAATGCATTGTGCTACTATCCCGGCAACCCAAGTTCGCTTCCAGCTCGACGCCAACACCGGTGACATTATCTTAATCCATCTGCCTCCCCGAGGTCGACTCAGCCTCAAATACATATCTGGTGCAGTGTGTAAACAGCATTGGAAACAAAGGCGGCCAGGCAACTCATTTCAACACCAAGACATTCAGTGTCTCATCAGTGCTGGTAACTCGTGCCCCTCATGTGTTGCACAAGTCTTGATAGGTGCACAGACACAGTTCCCCCGTATAGCCTTAGACTGTAGGGGCAAGTGCTGTGAGCGAGTAGTACCTATGAAGGTCGGCACAGCACAAGGGGGTGGATGGACAATACCACGTCTGGCCGCCTTTGTCTCCCTAGTGGTGATGTTTACACAGCAGGGTTCGCAGTGCAGCGTGCTAACTGCTGCGCCACCGTTCCGCCCACGTGCACAGACACAAGTGGAAGCGACCAGGGTGGTGTGGGGTTGGCTCCCTGACGTTTACTGAGTGGTGAATGAGCGTGCGAGCGTGAATCTTGTGGATGGAATAAAGCGCACATCCTCCCAACCAGCAGTGCCCTCTGGGTGGTTCACAACACCCAACAACATTTACACCATGAAGTGGCAGCTACTCAAACACGATGCTAGCCGAGGCACAGCACAAACAAATATTCCACACCACTGAAGAACTTGGGACGCGTTGGCAAGTCTGCTTCTTATTCACGTTCAGCGCTGGGCAATTTTGATTTAGCGTGTTCACTCTGGGGAAGCCTCACCGAGTCTCATAACTTTAGGAAGATCCTGCCAAGTTTTTGGAGTAGGGGGTGATGCTGCTGTGTGTTACCCCAATTGAGTGATTTTCAGGGAGTGTCAGCATTAGGATGTTTGACCAATATCAATTACTGTATTTTTAATTAAAAATTTGGAGGAAACCCATGCATAACAAAAGGAGAACATACAATAAACTCAAAGGTGTCCGAAGTCTAAAGTCAAACCCAGGCTCTGCTTGCAGCGAGGCACGGGCATTAACCACTGTGCTGCTGCCCAGTTAGCAGCAGCGTGCGTTTAAACATCGACCATGGCCCCGGTTGTTGATGCCACCAATTCCTTCCACCTCCATTGCACCTCACAGGAGATGTGCAGCAACAAACCACGACATGCCACAAGCTGCTCTTAAGACTGCCCTAACATTGATGAATGGTATTTGAGAACTGCTAATTTCCTCCCACATGCAGAAATACTTATCCTGCTACACATGGTGTTCCCAGGTATCCGACCAAGTACTTGCCAGGCTGGCAGAATCGGTCAACGACTTGGGAAGATCCAACACGCAGGAACGGAGTGTTTTAAGGTTTATGGTAATGTTGCTCTGCAGCCAATGGTTTGAATCAGACCGCACGGGATGAGACAAACGAGATGAGAAAAGCATTTCCACAGAAAAAATTATTTAAAAAAAATCGAACCGTCATTGGGAATGGTGCAGAAATGCAACGCGGTGAGACAGAATGGACGCAGGCCACCCCATACCAGACCCACCAGTAGCATCATGTAGAACACAATTGGGCAGACTGCTTATACACCTCGTCTCTCCGCATAAACACTGTCAAAATTTACGCATCCCATCAGCCAAATAGCCTGCTGAGAGTGCGTATTGTGATAGCATTGGTTCCATACGAGCAAAGCTAGAGGGGTTTTGATATTCAGTGTCTCATCAGCAGCAAGGGAGTCTGGCTTGCTTGAAACCAATGCTAGTGAACTGCTTGATGTTTACAGGCAAGGGCCCTCTCAATTAGAGGTGCTCGTTCGATGCACGGCTATTTTAAGAAGGCTGCATGCCCACGAGGCCATGTGGTGGTCGATGAGACGCGTAAAGAACGCATCATTTACGCAGACGGACGGACGCGAGGTGGCGGCGTCTGCTTCGTTACTCTGCGCAACGGTGATCGGAAGTGAGCGAGGGCGCCCACATGCGTGTCCACACAATTATGGGTGCACAGTAGGGGGGGGGGGGGGGCGGGGCAGCATTAAAATGTACACCAGTCACACGTGGGGGTGGGGGTTGGACAGCAGGAGAGCATGGGAGGACGAAATCTCAAATTACACCAAAGATTCAATTCACATTTTTCACCGGATCCGGGAAACCAGGGCGTTGGTGGAACCCCGTCTTCAGTAGGCGGTGTCACTGGATTCCTGAGAAACAAGAACGCAGGGGGTGAGGACATTTACAGTTATGTGGAGATGGGCTTTGTGTCGTTGCAGGAGCAGCAGTGATCTTTCTGAAAGAGCCATCCTCCTGCTGTCCCTGTATGGCACAGGGCCACTCAGCACCTGGCAGTGAGCGGCCGTTTGCCGATCGGGGGCGATAACTGGTTCCATGTGAAATCCCAATTGAGTGTTGTAATATTTGACTTTAAAACATGTGGACCGTGGTTCTGGCACACAATGAACTCCACATTTTGGAGCAAGGGATCTTGACGTCCACCGAAGCAGACGGCATGGAGCGTCTATGGTGTTTACACCACCCCAGCCACACCTGAACCCACGTGTACCCGCGCGCGTGCGAGTGTCCACGGAGCCACGTACCGGTGCTATCGCTCCTCACGGCCACTGGTACTTGAGGTACCAGATGGTTTCATTGGAGAGCTGCGGCCCAAACAGCGGGTTCAACTGAGCCAGGATAGCGATGAGCCAGCTAGAGGGGGAGACGGGAGGGTGGGCCGAGAGGGGAAAAAAGGTGGGAGAGAAAGGAAGGAGAGAGATAAGGGAGTGAGGTGGGGGGGGAGATAGGAGAGAGTGGAGGAGCGAGAGACAAAGTGGAGATGAGGGGAAAGAGTGGGGGAGAGTGGATAGAAATAGGGGAAGAAGTGGAGAGGGGGGGGGAAGAGTGGCATTGGCGTCACGAACAATACAACACAGATTAACCGCACATGACCCTGGCTTGAGACGTTTAGTGGCATTCTCTGAGATCAAATGAGCAGAGGCATTGGTTTTCATCGCCCATTAACAGCCCTGCACCAGTGGTATTAATTGAACATTCCTATGACTCACAGAGGTTAAGTAAATGTAGAGGACATTCACTGTTGATCTTCCCCACAGTGGTTCTCATTCATCCCGGAGGGGAGGAATGATGAGCTGGGTCACCTGGTAAACTCCCCCCCCCCCCCCCTACCGCTGCCAAAGTCAGAACGCACAACCTTCCGACTACGGGCCGTGCACTCTTCCGCTGAGCCCCCCCCCCGTATTAAATAAAAAAGAACGACAATCTCCAAACTGAACCGTGGCGGTCTCAATGGAGTCTCCACTTCCCTGGTCCTCCTCTCGTACCCAGGGGCGGTAGTAGGGGGCGGAGCGGGCGGTGGCGATGTAGATCTGGTGCCTCCGTTTGTTGTTGTTTTAACGACCCAAAACAAACAGCGTCCCCGTGAGCGATCCTCCACACCCAACCACCGGCCAAAGCCTGGCAGGTCTGGCGTGTACCGGGCGGCGTGGCGGCCCAGAGGTGATCATGCCGGGTTCTCAATTCGCTACACTTGAGAACCCGGTTTAAAAGGTTTTTTTACACATCCCATCAGCCGCACGGCCTACATGGTAGTGGATAATTTCACCAGCATTGGTTCAGTTTCAATATTTACAGTCTCATCAGCAGTCAAAACCATGATGAATTGGCAAATGTTTATAGGCAAAGACCATCAAATATCTACTCACCGCAACTCTACACTGCTCTGAAATCCGTTTCTCTCTCACACACCCACTCCCCACATTCTCTTCCTCCAACTGTAATCCACTCCCTGCTAAACGAATGTCACCACCACCCAAACGCTGGAGGATGGAACGTCTCTCTCTGTTGTTGTTTTTCATACAGGGGTTGTATGTTTTTGTCTCAATTCTGCTTCCATTAGCGGAGGGTGATAGGGGCGAGACACGGGGCCACGGGGGTCATGATGATGAGGACAGAGGAAGGAGGACAAGACGGAGGGCATCACGGTGACAGGCCACGAGCAGGGGACTCGCGCCAGACTAAACAACCCCCAGGCCATTAACCCAGATATTTGGGTTTATCAGCGGAGAATCCCGAGCACGATCAACCATGTTTGTGCTCGGCACCGCAACAGGACAGGGAGCACGCATGTAAACCGACTGGTAAACTGCATGAGTTAACCGGTAAAACCCCGGTTACCGGTTTGCCACACGTAGGAACGTCTAGAGCAACAAACCGGACGTGTTGAGCTTCTGAACTGAGGAACGAAGGAAGCTGCCACCAGGTGTGGTGGAATGGTGAACACACAGGCTGCGGGTTCGATTCCATCTCCCCGCACAGCAGTTGAGTCGACAATGGAAGAGTAGGCCAAATCTAGAGCTGACTCGAGTGGAGGCGCTTTCCGTTCAGCAGTGATGTGCTCTGGCAATTGCAGGGCTGCATCTTTACCTTTTACTTGCCCATAGATTATTTACCCTCAAGCCTCCCGCCATGCGGTTTGTACGTCCACGCATGCCAGTCAGCGCGTTTGTTACACTCCACTGGAATACGTTACCAGTCTCTGACTTTTGGAACCGCTGATTTATTCTGAAAATGGTTACCGGTTACCAACCCTAGTGGAGACACAGCTCGTGCTGTTGTTACTTAATAATCTTGCACAAAGTTGCTGTACTGCATTGAATGCACTCCGTAGCGTTAGTATAAAACTGCCTATAACACCAAGCAAATCTCTCAGCGGTTTAAGAAGGCCACACCCTGCTGAGACTCAGATAAATGTTATCAGTTTGGAGCATTCCTGCATAAACAAATGCGATAAGAATGTCGATATTGCTGGTTGCTGCAGCCGTACGCATGGTTTTCTCCGGTTCTCCCACATTAAGCCAAATACTCATGAAAAGAGATTTGGCCAATTCTCGAAAACACGACCACAAAACTCGGGAAGGCCCTGCAGACCGACCGCGAGTTTCCTGGGTGAATCTATGCCCCGATTCCCGGCCTTTGGGCGCCACCCGGTGGCGAAACTCCGGTACAACACAAGTGACTTCCTGCTGTTCGAATGGGCATTTCTGCTCATCTTCTGTTTATAAGGCTTTTCAGAGCCAGTGGTGCAAATCCAACATTTCTATGGCGGGGGCAAGTATATACAACCACTCTTTGACTTCCCCACACAGTAGTACTCATTCATTTGGCCCCCGGAGGAAACGATGATGGGCCGAGTCGGTCTCAAACAGGACTGGAACTCGCTCCCCTCTGCCTGTGAGCCGCCCGGCTGCTGTTGCTACAGAACTCGGCTCAATGATCACAAAACATTGGCAGGCTTCGAACGACCCGTAGATTTAAATTAATTATGATCACTACCATACATCCTTTGATTCGTGCATGATAACAATTCATATTCTTTGGTTCTTTCGGTAAAGTCACGTAGATAGAAAATAAAAAATAAAAAATTACGTTTCTATCGCAACACAAGCAGTCGTCATCAGGAAGAGAGGACAGGCGGGAAAGTTTGAAGTAAAAGGATAATAATTACTAGTGATTTACACAATTTGCACAATTATACGTAGACCAAGTGAGTAAACGAGGCTGCAAATGAAACTAATACAACATAAATAATGTGGCGTCTTCCTTCAAGTGCAGTATGGACTTGATTGGTCTACGAGGATGATGTGCGTATCTGTGTGTGTATATTTAACTTTATTCGCACTGTACGTAGCCAACCGTACTAATCGGAGGTGTTCAGCTATCAATGAGGCTAAAAGTGCTTGTGAAGATTCTTCTTCAGCTCACCTTTGAGCCAAACACAAGGCAATTTACTTTATCTGTGTCGGGTGGTGGAGGGTATTAATGAAACAGGTCAGATCAATGCATGGCCTAACCCAAATATAACTAGTGAATGAATGAGTGATTTGTGTGTTGCAGAGGTCGGCTGAGCGAGCACCATCGTTTCCTGACTCCGTCTCTTTGTCCTCTGCTGCCGCCCCAGAGCGGCGGGGTCCAGGTTTGGCGACACAGGCGAGGGGAGACTGGACAGGTCCGGCTAGAGAGCGGTGTTTAGCGAACACAACTAACGCACCCACCCAGCCAGCCTCTCAGCCAGCCGGCAATACGCCAAACATTACCAACATTACACACAACAACACACAATACTTACTGGTCTTAAAGGCCAGTCACTAAGACACCAACTGTATCCAACCAGAAGTAAGCCATCTAGTCAACCAGTCAGCCTCAAAGTTACACAACCAGAAACACACATCCAATGAACGACTTAGCCTCTCAGCTAGTCACCCAGCTCGTCACCCAGGAACCGCTATCCACCACTTAGGAGCTCTGCCGCCCCTAACTCAACATCACCGCGAGTTGCTTTCCCGCGTTGTGAATGTTCCATCGCTCGGTGACCACGTCGTTTTTACTGCAGCGTTCACAAAACACCTCCGCGGAGATTGTGTTAAAAGTCCAGCACAGCGCTGGCAAATGATTTATGCATGCGGTGTAAAAATGTATCATACTGTAGCACCTCATGCAGCAGGAAACTATTACTAACCACTCCATATTCATACAGTGTGGACTAGTCTTACCATATAATTATTGTGTACTTCTGCAGTGCCTGGTAGTAATTGTAAGTACCCCGAATGGATCATGGGCTGAATTGACCCTCAACCAGAAAATAACACGTGGATTTTGGATTTTAAGTAGGCCCTCTTCACCATCATGAATTATGGACTATCCACTGCTGGATGAAGGCGTGCCCATGCTATCGCCATTCCTCATGACCATGTGATGCCACAATCCATCCCGGTCCTGCATAGCTACTGACCTCATAGCGTTGTTTAGCAATGGTCATGCTCTCATGCGTGCTCAATCCCTTGGCCGTTATTCCACCACAAGTCTCGTCCACTGGCCATTACCCACTTACAGCCATTACTTGCATACATCCCTTTACGATAGCAGTGTTTAATGAACACACCCTTCACTATCTACGTGTAAATATGCAAGTCAATGACACACACCAACCACCACGCTCAACGTGCCTGATCTTATCAAGTGCCTGGAGATCGGTGTTGTAGGCTCGGACTGCAAGGTGGCCACGAGGTGGCAGTATAGCAATGGATTAGTAAATCCATCTGTGTGGAGTGGTGAGTGTAGAGTGCTGTGGAACTCACAAGAGGTAGCAGCAAACGGCACATGTCACCAGCATGGTGTTGATAACTCTGGAAAGAAGAACGGAGTCAGGAATAATCATAAGCACACAAATGTATATTTGTCTCTCCATGTATAAAAAAAACCCTATGTTTTTTACACATCCCATCAGCAACCCGGGTTCTGGCAGCATAGAATTTCAGCACAATCGGTTAAATGCAAGAAAACTGTACCACTTTTAACATGAATTGTCTCATCAGCAGTGTGGCTTTGCTTGAACCAATGCTGAACGCCAGATGTTAAAATGCAAGGACCCTCCTCTGTTCGTTATGGGTGTGAGTTCAACATAAAGCTCGATAACAATCAACACCAACAACTCTCAGATTCGTTGTTGAGAATATAAGAAACTAAATAATGAAGCAATCCGCCTCTCATATCTGTCCTTCTAAATGAAAAACACACACACTTTTATATATTTAGTTATTCTTCTCCACAACGACCATAAATATTATTTTGGAGTCAGGATTTGATGCAAGAACCACCGCAATTCACTTGAGTTTGACTCCCAGCCATGGGTAACATTAGTTACAAGTGGTAATTGAACATGACCCGGACCAACACTCGGCATTATATGTTAAACTTCGTGCGCACTATACGTTGCCAGGCGTGCTGATCGTATTTGACAACACATTCTAGTCGGTTTTAATAGGTTATCGCTAGAATAATTTTCGCCACTGCTGGTCTAAGAATTATACGCCATACAAATGCCGAAAACACAACGTATTGGAGCAAGCGAGCTGATTAAACACTCTCTACTGATGAAAGGATGAATATTGAAACCGTTCCAGCGTTTTGCTTGCGTTAAATCAATGCTGCGGCTGCTGCTAATATGGACTCTTTGAAGGCTGTTAAGATGTGTAAATCATAATTTTATGGAGGTGATATGGGAAGGAGGTGAATGCCGTAGCTAATGTCCCGTGCAGGGTTACAGACTGCCGGGACAAGGTGCTGTTAGCGAGCAGAGCTGTTTACGGCAAGGTGACCAGTCCAACGTCCGACCGCCTTTGTATCCCCAATGCTCATGTTCACACCGCACCACATACCCAACTCGAATGAGACGTGCGATACTGATACTAAAAATATAGTTTTCATTTGTACTAATGACTACTAGTATAAGCTTTCACTATTAACGTATATCAAACAATTGGTATTTACATTTAAGATTTTATGTACAGAACATATTTGCCCAATAGGCCTCAACTGTCCCATGCGTAGCCTACGCTCTTGCCTATAAGCGGCCGGGGCGGAAACCACTCCGCCTCCTTCCTGGCCGAAGCGACGTGACGACCCGCAAAGGGTTTGCCGATAACTCACCCTCTGTTGGGCCCCTTGGGGATGAACCAGGGCACGACGAAGCCGATGATGCCCCAGAAGACCGTCATAACGATGATGGGGATGGTGAGGCCGTGGTACCCCATGCTGGCGAGACGACGGAGAAGCGAACCGCGGCGCAGCGAGAACGACCCGCGAGAAAAGATCGCTCCGTGTCACGTGATGCACGCACGTGCTCTACATTTCCCAGCGTGGATTGGCACGGGGGCGTGGCTGCCTATCCAGTATATGGAATTAGAGCCACGTTAAACACCCCTGCTCAGCTGATCGTCGTACTGCATCTCAAGTCATGTACAGGCGCAGCCCCGCAATTGCTTACCCACGCCACTGCTGGCAGAAGAATGCTCCGCTATAGACAGCTCTAGAGGGTGCTGAGTCTACTCTACATTTCGTTTTGCCGATTGACTGACGTGAACTGCGCGGTGGTGCTAGCCACAGAACCCCCTCGTGCGCCGTATCGGTCTTAATAGCTGCTCGCTAACACGTGCTCCGAGTCTATGTGACGGATCTGTTTTCGTACGAGTGTGCCATGTGGCAGATCTTCAGCAAGCTACTCTGCTGATGAGACGCTGGAAGTTAAAACCGGCCCGGTTTGCTTGCAATTCTGATGCAAGTATGCACTCCCAGGTCGTTGGGATGTGTACACATTTTGCAGGGACAAATGAAAGGCAAATTGCTATTCCACACGACGCCGATTATTTTGTATGTCACTTGTGTGGACGTGTTCCTTGTTACTCAACTCTCTCGTTGGTCTAAATTGAAAACGTATTTCTTTAGAACTGCTTTGAGTTGTTTGTTGGCCTCACCCCACACCCCCGATTAGCAAGGTTAGCTACGTACGGTGTGAAAGGAGTTCTGCATACAGTGCATGGGTTCTCGACGGCTGGTACGCCCTCGTGTGCGATCAGGAGTGCAATGCTCAATACCCGACGTTTGTGGCCGAACAATCCTCTCCAAATCGCTGGTTTTGTAAATTACTCAGATGCTGTTTCGCTCTTTAGGAACATAATGTAAATGCTCACCACATTCCAAATTAATCTCCAAAGTACAAACTTCCCGAAGGGGTGAGCACCCAGTTCTCTCACTGCGTCCGATCGACTTCAAAGTGAAGCAGCCTGGATAAATAACGAAGCAGTGTTTGCTAATTGACTATCACTCTTCTATCGTTAGCACCATGGTGACTGTTGCTGGAAACTTCTCTTTGTCCACCCACGTTGACAACTAGCGTCTAATCTATATTTGAAGTTTTCGTGACTGCAGGGATCCATACGCTATGGTTCTTTCGGTAAAGTCACGTAGGGAAAATAACGTTTCGGGCACAACACAAGCGTCCATCATCAGGTGGGAAAACCACAGAAATTGTTTCTTGCCGTCATCAGGTGGGACAACCACAGCAATTGTTTCTTGCTGTGGTTGTCCCACCTGATGACGGACGCTTGTGTTGCGGCCAAAACGTCGTGATTTAATTTATACCTACTTGACTTTACCGAAAGAACCAAAGAGTAACTAGCGTCTACTAGACCATCTTAGCTGAGTGTTCAACCAACACATTGCAGGTCACAATAATTCTGCTTCCTTCTACGTACTTTAGAACTCTCTCCCATCGTCTATTTTCCCAAGCTCTTATAACTCAGCTTGATTAATTAAATATTCCTGTTAGTAATAAAAATGTTTTAACAGTCCTGTTTGTTGCTGCCTCCTCACGTTTTTGGCCTAAATACTCAGCAACCAACAGTCGAGTTGTTCAAACACTCCACCACCCAACACATCCACACAACCAACACAGAGCGTTCTTGTGAAACAACGATGTTTTTATTGTAATTGCCGGGGCAGGCGGGCAAGTGGGGGGAGGAGGAAGAGGTGGACGAGGTTGTTTGTCCTCACTCCTGCATCTTCTCGATCGTCTCCTCCTTGTACTTCCCCTTGTCCTGGCCCTGCTGCCTGGACTTGCCTTTCTTCTCCAGGATCTTCTTGCGGTCTTTGTCAAGCTTCAGCTTCGTGATCACCACCTGCAAGCCGAGGAAGCGTCACCACCATGATATTAGTCCTCATGACAACCACAACCGGCACGATTAGTCGACCAATCGACTAAAAGCACGTGGCAACAATAACCTGCGCGAGCGATGCTGGATGACCGTGGCATTCATTACATCGACAATAACGATGTTACCACCACGACAGAAGAGATGCCATTGATGATTATGGTGGCCGTAGCAATGACAAAGGTTGCAACAACGATCTGTATTAGTGTTGGGTTGGGTCATGTGGTGGTGGTAATTTTATGCAAAAATTGCCATTCACTCTCTACCATCCAACAACATGGTCACGTTTACATGCAATTCATACGTAGAAAATGTATTGATCTAATTCTGACTAATAAGGCACCCTCCTCGCACCAGTGGCTTAAGACTTATGGTGGCCAAATTCAACATCAACGTAGGATGTTTCAATCAAACCGCTTTCAGCTACTTCGTCAGGTCGTGAAGTTGGAAATCGAGTTAATGATGTAGCAGCTGTGACAATGGCAGTGTCAGTAGCGGTCATGCTGATGTGTGGAGCAGTAGCGAAGCAGTTAGCGCACTCTGCTACGAACCGAGTGGCACAAAGTTTGATTCTCTTCACAGCAAACACCAGTGACGATTATCTGAACCAGTCCTGGGCCGCCCCTATGTCAATTGAGTCTCATTTAAGTACCTAGTGTGATGTTAACATTGTCTCTCGGGATTCAAAGGGAGTCGGCGTGGTGCTGGCCACCCACGCCCTCGTGTGCCGTGCCGACCTTCATATCTAACAACACAATGTGGTAAAGGCTATACGGGGGACCTTTGTCTTTGGTTATGATAGGAGTGATTCTGATGGTGGTGGCTTTAGGGATGACAATGACGATGGCAGCAGTTAAGGATGACCAACACATCGATGAAAAAAGGGTAATGCAGCAGTAGAAGTCACCGATGCTTGTGGTGGTGGCAGGAGCAATGACAAGGATGCCAGTCGTGATGAAAATGTCAGTCACAGTGATGATGATATAACAATAACCATGGTGGTGGTGGCAGCTTATAAAATATGGTGATGATAATGACAAGTGGGAAGTGACGACTGATGATGACGACTCGGCAATGAAGGCAGTTTCAGCAAGAACGCCTGCACCCTCGCGCCCACCTTGCTGGGATGGATTCCCACGTGCACGCTGGCGCCGTTGGCCTTCTCCCTCTGGATGCGCTCGATGAAGATGATGTACTTCTTCCTGTACACCTGCACCACCTTACCCACCTGCTGGCCCTTGTAGTGACCGCGCACCACCTGCCCACAGCCGTGCACACACACGTGACAGGGATCACTTATGGCCTCTCGTCTTTGTGACAACAAGACAAATAAGACAATATGCCTCACCACATATCTGTCCCTCCACAGAATTTTTTTTACACATCGCAACAGCTACACAGGATTAGACATCACAATAATTGCCCCCTACTGGCACACTAACACCCACTTGCACACTGGACCACCTTGTGCCACACAGGGGCAGCTGCCATTGGGGGGGGGTCTCCTTTGAATGTTTGAGATGAGATACAAGGTACTTTTTAAGATGCGGAAGCATTCAAGCACCTTATACATGAGACCAGGTGGCTCAGCTGCAGAGCGAGTGGCTCGCAATCAGAGTTGCGAGTTCAAATCCTGCGTTGGGGTTCACTCAGCCAATCATCCCTCAAATCGGTCGACAAAAAAAGTGCCACTTTATGGAGGAGTCAACAGTGGTTGTCCTATGGTAAGATTCGCCCACACCAAATGAATGTGGAATTGCACCACTGGCTCAGGGCTGTTAACAGACACCTGAACATCCTACAATAAACATGTTATAGATCTCTTTTACAATCCATTAAGTCCAGAAGATAAACATACCAGCAAAGTGTTAAAAAGTGATTTGGCAAAAACGGCAGCGCTGGGTAGGACGTGTGTGAGGGACGGAAGATGGCCGGTTACAGAGATGGGCATTAAAGTGATCTCCACAAGTCTGGCGACTAATGGCCAGATGGTGGGATATTGTAAGGGCAGATCTATGGATCTATTTGTGAATATATGGATCTCTATGCGAGTCAAAGAAGAGTGGTTGGAGACTGCCAGGGCCTCTGCCATTCTCCTGTGTAGCAGCAGTAGCTGCTGGATTTGGCTGAGGTGAAAGGCTTTGGTGGCCACTTCTCTCTTCTTCGTCAACAACCACCTCCTCCCCACCTCAACAACTACACCAACACAACCACCATCACCCCTCCTGCCACTCTTCTCCCCTCCAGACAAAAGCCACAACGATCGCATCTGCCATGCTCATAGTGGAGACGAGTGACAAGCAGAGGGAGGTGGTGGAATCATCATCGGGTTGGTCATGACGATACCTTAAAGCTTGATACACGCAACCTATTGTCATTGTCGCGTTGGGGTCGCACGCACCTGGACCTCGTCATCCTTGCGGATGGGCATGGAGCGCACGCTGTACTTCTGCCGCAGCTCCTTGGAGAGCGGGGACGACATGATCTTCCTGCGCACGTGCGACGGCGCGTTGAAGTGCCGCTTGCGGTTCTTGCGCCGCGACGACGTCACTAACTTGTTCAGCTTCATGGCGGCTGCTGGTGCTGCTGGAGATTGTGTTCGTAGTGTTGTTCCGTTGGTCGTTGTGGAGAAGGGAGAGGTGCGAGTGGGGAGGTGGTGGTTGTGTTGTTGGTGATGCGTGGTTGTTAGTGGTGAGAGACGAGTGTCAGGCAGGGAGGTGGTAGTTTGTCGTGGGAAAGGAGTGGCAGGTGGGATGGTGGTTGTGGGAGAGGTAGAGATACGATTGGGAGGTGGTGGTTGTAGCGTCGTTGTTTGGTGTAGTTGTGGAGAGCAGAAAGGATGGAGAGGAGAAAACAGGGAGAACACATTGTTAGTTGGTTTTAAGAACAATTTGCTGCAGGATTGTATTTCTACAATTTCAGGCTTCTCCAACCCACAAACGAGCGTGAAATATGGTTAAATACCCCTCCCAGGCATGGGGACGCTCTCATCCAGCAGCTTAGTGACAAAGTGCTGGACAAGTTACCTACCCAGTAAGCATGTGATGAATGCATCCACCACAAAGCAAAACATCACGGTATATAAATGGGTACACTACAGTTTGTCAATCAGCAGGTGGCGTGTGGAGTCAAATGTGGGTACTAGGTCTTCCAAGACATCTGACCCGCGAGTCGGAAGAGTCGACCAAACAGCCTCGAGGGGAAGGCTTCTCTGGACGCTCCTTCCGCCAGCAGTGGGGTGAGCAAGGCTGTGCCTTGGACTTTTACCTCCGCGTCGTCAAATTCGACTTGTGTTTAATTGAACTTACCACGTGTATAAAATATACACGACGGCACGAATACACATGGTTACACGCGGCAAGGGCCTGATGGTGGATAACCATGCCCCACGTTAAGGAGAAAGCGCCGTTCCAATGAGAAAACTGGGACGAGTTTAGCAATCATCAGGCAGCGCGCGATGTATGGTAAGTGGCGGTAGCAAGGCCTCACTCAAGTCCTCACTATAATCATGCATGTCCACATTCCCATGCCAAGAACCGGGTCATACACACACGAGCCAATGCTTCTATACACGATGGACAAATGTGGCGGCACTCGTCTTTTAAACGTTCAGCCTAAGTGGTGGAAATTTCACATTCTGAGACGGGGCCTAGTTCACCCACTCAGCTACCGATGGGAGACATTTCACATTAATGATGGGGTCATGCCATCCGCGCACAATAGTGCTGGTCTATAAAAATTACGCCACCGCAGCATTTAAATGCAACCTATTGCCACTACTCAATTATAACAGCATCATCACCCATGCTTGATCCACTGCTGGATGAAGGCATACCCATGCAGTCGCCATCCCGTTCTCCGACCACGCATCTCACTCCCGTAACTACCTAAATCCCTCCATGGTTCCATCCCCACGGTGATTTCCCGCGCTAAACAACCCCTTCAACAGTAACAGCAGCATGAAACACTTTCACCGCGCTTAGCGGCCATCGAGTCTAACATCGCGATGGACCGCCGCCCGCTCAGGAGCCTCAACCTCCCGCCCCAGCGCCACCAAATCCCCTCGATGAGACCGGCGCTATATCCCCCCGCACTCCAAGGGCCCCCAACGAGAGTGGGAATGCCTCATGGGGTCGATGTTCACGGATTGCTCACGGCGCCCAAGAACCACGGTCACTTACCGCTCAGCGATGGCGGCCGAAAGGGAGATCGTGATGTCACCAAAAGGCGATTACGTCGGGCGAGAGTGATGACGTCACCGCGCGGAGTAGTGACACGACGTCATCCGTAGTGAGGTAAAACGTAAGCACAGATGACGTCAAATCTTTTATTTCCGTTTGCTATTTTATAGTTCATAGTTAATTTATTTGGTATAGCCCTGTGAGCCATTCGGCTCTTGAATCGGGTGCAACCGCAACAAACAAAAAAACATGAACAAAAAAACATATTAAAGTGATTTTGTGACTGTGCAAACAGAAAATACAGGAAAAAATATCAAAATATTCCTGAAATAGCACCGTACACCAACGCTGTGTGCAAAAATCCCAGTGGGATGGGAGTCAAATAACAACAACAACCACAAGACAACTAAGATTAAGGCCATCAGTCTAACTCCGTACTACAATAAACAAAAACATGGCCAAAACAAAAAAAAACTTTTCGAAATCACCAAAATAAAAGCCATAAATCCAATGTAACAGTGATCATTGGGACTGTGACCGAATTTTTAACAATAAACTACATAAATAAATTATAACACCAAAATCTAGAGCCATATTGTAGGCCACTGAATAGCAGTGGCAGCTAGGGTTGTACAACTCCTCTAGAGCAGTTTTGAGTGAAGATCTCATAGGTAGTGATCCAAGTTGCAGTTTATTGGCAATAGCATTCCAGACCCTGGGGGCATCAATAGCAAAGGCCCTTCCTCCAGTTTTTGTACGGCAATAGGGAATGTGAAGCTGGTAAATGAGCGAAGACCTGAGGTCAAATTTCTTCTTTGAAACAGAGAGGAGATCCAGTAGGTAGTCTGCGGAATTTTTTGTAAGTAGATCGTGAATAAATAAGATCTGGTGCACAAGCCGTCGAACATTAAGAGATGTTAAATTTGACCCAATGTAGAGATCACAGTGGTGAGTCCTATATGGGCAGTTCAATGCAAATCTTAAGGCCGAGTGATAGATGGAATCAAGCTTCTTCAGTACAGTACTTGGGGCTGATTTATAAACGATGTCACAGTAGTCAAGTAGAGGCAGTATGGTAGCTTTTATCAATTCCAAACGGAACATTGTGGGGAAGCAGTGCTTGTGTCGATCCAGAAAACCAATGTTTATTTTTGTCTTTTTACCAATATAATCAATGTGATCTTGAAAACTAAGTTTTGAATCCAGGATGACCCCAAGATACTTGTGTTGCGCCCGAAACGTCGTGATTTATTTTATTTTATACCTACGTGACTTTACCGAAAGAACCAAAGAGTATGGATTCCTGCAGTCACGAAAGCTTCAAATCAAGATACAATAATTATCGTCGTCGTGGAGAGTGTAAGTGCCAAATTAATGAACAGACAACACACTTCCTTCCCCTAACTGTTCCTCCACATGAGCAATACAAGTTTGGGTCGTTCACTGGCCAATGCAATCCTGGCTCTGCTGATGAGACACTGAATGTCGAAACCAGTCCAGAGTGAGCTGCAGGAGTTCACATTGTTTGGGTGTTTCGGTAAAGTGACGCAGGTGTAAGAAATAAAAACAGTAAAACAATACAAAGTAGCACGACGTTTCAATCGCAACACCACGAGATGGCGGCGTGTGTAGCAGCGTGTGAGTTGTTTTTGTGAGTTGTTTTGCGTGAGTGTAAACTGTGCGTGAGTGTGAAACTGTGAAGTGAGAATGAGCTGTGTGTGAGCTGCGTGTGAGTGAGCTGTGTGTGTGAGTGAGCCGTGTGAGAGTGGCCGTGACGAGAGGGACTTCTGCGTTCGTGTGTGATGGTGTGGTGATGTGCATGTTTGGCAAAGCCGATGAGTCAGATGCCTTCTATGACCTCCTGTCACAGGTGCTGGCTAAAGTGGCCCCTCGGGATAGAGTCATCTTGTTGGGTGACTTCAATGCCCGAGTTGGTCATGATGCTGGCACCTGGTTTGGAGTGATTGGAGGGCATGGGCCAGATCAGCTCAATAACAACGGTAGGAGGCTGCTAGATTTTTGTGCAGCCCATGGGCTTGTATTTACCAACACGCTGTTCCGGCATCGGCGCATCCACACAAAATCATGGATGCATGCCGGGTCCAAGCAAGAACATCTGCTGGACTACGTAGTGACGGACCAGCGGATGCGAGCCCATGTCCTTGACACCAGGACCTATCGTGGAGCTGATCTGCCCACTGACCATCGACTTGTCATCTGTAAGATGCGCCTGCCATTTTTCCACTCCGGTGGTGGGTGTACACCCAGGACCCCATTCCAACCTAAAGTGGCCTGGTCTCAGTTATCTGATGAAAGTTGCAAGCGAGAATTTCATCATCGCTTGCGGCTGGGGTTGGCATCGTCCCCCACTCCTCCTGATGTCGAGGGTAAATGGCGAGGTTTAGGACTGTGACTCATGCAGCTGCAATGGCTGCTTTTGGTACGCGGTCCAGAACTCCCCAGAGACCCTGGCTGACAGAGGAGGTGTTCAGGATGGTTGAGAAAAAGCGACAGGCCCACTGTCATCGGCTACAGAATCCCACGTCAGAGAATGAGGAGGCTTACCGCAGCCTTCGCTCAGAGGTTCGGAGAGCCGTGAGGCGCTGCAAGGATGGGTGGTGGTCACGGGTTGCTGAAGAGATGGAGCCTGCCTCAGTTGCCCGCGATCACAAATCTCTATTTTACTCCAAAAAAGTAACCTGCAGCGCCACACCTATTACCATCATTATGGGAAAAAACGGTGAACCAATCTCCGACCCCCAGGAACAGGTTTGCAAATTTGCTGAGCATTTCTGTGAGGTCCTGGGGGAGGGGAAATCCCTCAGCCAGGAAAACATCGTGGCACAAAGTGGGGATGACCCTGCTGAGGCTGCAGTGCCTCAAATATTGGAAGAAGTCACCCCCTGTGAGTGGCTGGCTGAGGTGCCATCTGTTGAGGAAGTACTAAAGGCCATCCGGAGTCTGAGAACAGGAAAGGCACCGGGCAGAGATGATCTCCCAAGTGAAATGCTGAGGGAGGGTGGCGTTTGTGCACAGACTGCCCTAAATGACACCATAACAACAGTCTGGACCACTGGACGGGTTCCGCAGGATTGGAAGGATGGCCTGGTGGTCCCCCTCTTTAAGAAGGGGGACCGCACAGACTGTAACAACTACAGGGGCATCTCACTCCTTAGTGTACAGGGAAAGGTCCTGGCAAGGATTATTCAACATCGCCTTGCCAGGCACGCTAAGGAGAGGCTTGCGGAGCCCCAGTGCGGTTTCAGGAAAGGGCGGTCCTGCACAGATGCCATATTTTCTGTCCGTCTGCTACAGCAGAGGTATAGGGAATTCCAGCAAGACCTACATCTCTGCTTTATTGACCTGGCCAAGGCCTATGATACCATCAGTAGGCCTGGGCTCTGGGTTGTTCTTCGTGCTTTTGGAGTCCCTGACCCTCTGCTCACGATCATTAAGGACCTTCATGATGGTGAACGGGCCCGGGTAAAACTACGTGGCCGGGAGTCAGAGCCATTCCCTGTACACCTTGGGGTGCGACAGGGATGTCCTCTGGCTCCCACATTATTTAACATCTATTTTGACCACGTAGTTCGTGAAGCCTTCAATAGCTGTACTGGGGGAATCTCCATTTGGTACAGCTATAATGGGAGGCTGATCGATGCCCGGGTGCGGTCAAGGGATGGCTCCCTATTGCTCAACCACGTTATGTATGCCGATGATTTGGTAATAGCTGCTCATTCAGAGGAGGAGTTGGAGACGCTGCTGCTGAGACTGGAGTGTGCCACTAAGAGATGGGGCCTTACCATCAGCCCCACCAAAACTAAGCACCTGCCTGGGTATTTTGTACCATCGGACACTCCACCCCCACAACTCCAAATCGCTGATGGGGCAGTTGTGGAGAGAGTGGAGAGTTTCCCATACCTGGGAAGTGTGCTTATGACCGGCTCCAGTTTAACAGCAGAGGTCTCACTCCGAATCAGTCGAATGGCAATATCTTTTCATCGGTTGTGTAACGCTGTGTGGAAGCTACCTGGTCTGTCACTCCGCACTAAGCTTCAGGTCTTCTCGGCCACGGTCATTCTCTCCCTTCTCTACGCTTGCGAAACGTGGACCCCCCAAATGAAACATCTTCGCCGGTTAGCAACATTTAGGCTGGCCTGCCTACGATTCATCCTGGGTTTAACCAGGCTGGATTGTGTGAGGAGCTCACAAATCTTTGAAAGATCTGGGCAAGGTCCCATCGGTGCGCTCCTCCGGCAGGCAAGGCTGCGTTGGCTTGGTCATGTAGCCCGCATGCCCAGCCACCGCATGCCGAAACAGCTTTTGTTCGACCGGATCGAGGGGGCTAAACGGGCGCAGCACAGGCTAGAGAAGAGATGGAGTGATGTGGTACAGGAGGACGTGGAGCTGAGTGGACTTGCCGATGACTGGTACCAGCGGTGTCAAGATCGGCCTCTGTGGAGGAGGCTCGTGAAGGACGCTACTGGGCAGTTGGAGACAGTCGCCCTCCAACAACAACGGAGGGCGGAGGAGCGACGCTCACAACAACGAGCGGAGTGCCGGGTGGCTAAAGCACAGCAGGTTGGCATAGTAGGGGGCACAGGTGGTACATCAGCCAGTCATCTCAGTCAGTCGACCCGTGGCACCTGGGTCTGCCCCGTGACCTGCCAGCGGGCGTTCGACACTTCACGTGGCCTCAAGGTGCACATGGCCTGGCACAAGCGTCGTGGTGACGTCACCGCCACTTAGTGGCGAATGGCGGTTGTTGTTGATGTGCACTCTGTGTGTGATGGTGTGGTGATGTGCACTCTGTGTGTGTGTGATGATGTCATGGTGTACACTCGTGTGTGTGTGATGGCGTGGTGATGTGCGCTCGTGTGTGTACCTGGCACAGCCTGAGTGAGGCCTGGTTGGTCGCGCATGCGGCGCAGCCTGAGTGAGGCCTGGTTGGTCGCGCACCTGGCGCAGCCTCAGTGAGGCCTAGTTAATCATACATTTGGTGCAGCCTGAGGCCTAGTTAATCACGCACATGGCGCAGCCTGAGTGAGGCCTAATAAATTGTGCACGTGACTCTGCCTGAGTGAGGTCTAGCTAATTGTGCACCTGGCGC